TTTTTTTTTTTCTTTCTGTTTGCATTTTATATATCGCATTTTTGCTTTGCTTAAATTTCAGCTTTTTTATCTTAATTTTTTTCTTTTGTAGTTATTCAGTTAAAAAAAAATTAAATCAAAGTTTTTCTTGACTTTTTCGATTTTTTTTTTGTTGTAAAATACATCGATACAGTAAAATCATAATTAAAAGAAAAAACTGAACAAATCTTAGAGCTTGCTTTGCTAAAGCAAATATAATCACAGAATGAGAAGCAACAAAAAGAAGAGTGATAAAAAGATGTTTGTTGAGAAAAGATACCTTTTTCTGCTTTGTTTTGAAGTACCGAACATTTGCGTAACGATAAATTGAAACTTAACTATTACACTTTTTTTTTTTTTCATTCAGTATTTGTAGAGTAATATCTTACACCGATCGTTTACAATTCAGGTGCTTACAAAGTAATTTCCACTTTTTCTTACACTAATTTGCCAATTTGTTGTTGAATATTGTTGAACAGTGGTAACCAACAAAGCATATTTACGCATTTGATCATCTTAAAATGAACTTACTCATTATTGCTTTTCAAGCTTTTTTGTTTTCCTTTTTTCTTTCAGGAATTTCAACAATCAGCTGATTCGGAGAAGTGAAGTTTGAAGCCAAAAGAAAAAAGAAACAAAAACAGAGTCTAAAGCTGGCTGTTTTGTCAACGACGATGAAGAAATAGAAAAATTATAGGATGTCTTCTGCAGAAATTACAGATGTTGTACAGTTAAGCAAACATTGCAGCGCCAGCAGTAGTGCTCATCAGATTCAGCCACGCTCATCAGGATCAACCTCTAGTTTCGTCTGTCCATCACAGCTGAAGGCCAGTCCAACATCAGAAAATTGTTCTTTAACAGTTATCGGATGTCAGTCGCAAGGACAATTTCATCATTCGTCAGGCCAATATCTGAGTGGTCAAACGGCATTCTATTCGGCGCCATTGGGACATTCCTCAAGTCCGAATCATTCAACTCAAGTGATCTTGCAAAATCAGTTGTTGCATTCCAATGACAGTTTACCGGTAACAGTAGCACAAACATCGCATGTACAGCATAATAATTCACCTACACAAGTACCCGTCTATACCACCAAAATACAGACCTATCCATCAGTTTCCACTGCTGTACAACCGTTTTCGTTGATGAGTCGAACACGTCCATTGTTATGCAGTCAAACAATTGATTCAGCCGCTTGTCTATCGGCATTAGACAATCGTCGTAAAACATTTCGAGCTCGTGCATCACTGGTGAAGCATCTTTCTTGTTTTTATCTTTATTTTTTAAATTTTTAATTCTTTTTTAACTGACCATGATAAATTAATGCTTATCATAGATTAGTGAGGAAAACTATGATAAATGAACACAACGATGAATGAACCCTGCATTCTTAAACAATAATAATTATAGCAAAGAATCAAAGTTGATTTTTGCTTAATGTTGCACTTACGACAATTGTGTAGTTTTATTATTAATGTAAAT